CCTCCCCATGAGCCCACCCTGGGGCCCCCCACCGCAAAGTAGTGTCCTGAGGGGGTTGGGGAGCTTCCTGGGGTGGGGGAACCCTGCCCTGGGTGCACGAGGCTGCACAGTCCCCTCGGCCAGGGTGGGCGCTCTAGAGGGTGGTGCCAGCTCGGTGGCACCGTGCCCTATGCCCGTTGTCCTCTTGCCATCCTCCTTCTCCCCGACCTCCAGCAGCACCAGCACGGCTGGGATGCAGCCAGGGAAGGTGACCCATCACCAGCGCCCCAACACCCCCTGCCACCAGGGATGGGCGCTGGGGCAGAGGAGCCTGCCCACCCCTCCCCTGCAAGAAGCTGCCCATTTCCAGGCGTCATTAAAGAGCAATTAGCTGAAAATTAAGCTGAGAACAAGTATTGATTAGCTCATTAAGGCTGGGGGAGCCGGCTGTGGCAGGAGGAATTGCTGCCGCTCGCCCTCATTATGGGCAAGGTTAAAGCTTGCGGTTGGGCAGCTCATTAAAAATGCCAGGGACCAATCAATGTTCCCAGCCCAGCACCGCCCAGCGCCACTCAGCACCCCTGGGGACACCCAGCCACTGCTTTTTGAAGACTGGCCTGTGACCTCTGGGATGGGCCATCTTAGGAAGGGACCGAGCATCCTTGATTCCCTGCATCCACTGCTGCATCCTGGGGTCCCCCACAAAGGCAGCAGTGTCACCTTTGGGCTTATCAATCCTCCAAAACTCACTGGCCAGGGTGGTCATCTTTGTCTCCCCTGCAACGAGGGCACCCATGGCGACAGGTTTCCACTAGCCTGATACTGTGTGCTCATGGCATCAGGAGAGGACAGCCAGCTTGGCTGGTTTGCGGGGCAGCACCTCAGATCTCCTCCCCACCAGAGCTGAATTTGTCAGGTCTTAGCCAAGCAGTGCCAGCTTGTGAGAGTAAGAGACAGACCAAAGGGGATCTCAGGGATGGGATGAAAGCAGCTGAGGATATGGGGACAGGCAAAAGACACCCAGTGGCCCTGTGTGGCCGTGTGCTGCCGTGCCACCCTGCCCTGCCCCCCAGCCCCACAGCTCTGGGGGCTCTTGAGGTGAGTCCAGACCTTGCCCACCCATGCAGCCAGACCCAGCCACCCCAAGCCCCTGCGACTCCAGTCCCCTCTGCTGTCCCTTTTATCCATATCTCTGCCTCTCGCGGCCTCCAGTGGCTCAGGGCCAGCTCCCAAACAGTGTATGCATGGAGGGTGTCCTCATGTAGGCTGGTGATGTGGGGGGGCAGGTGTCATCATTATTTTTGTTTTCTTCGCACTGCCCTGGAAATATATTGTATTCTCAACTAATCCCGTTCAATTACACCACAATAAAACACATAATAAAAACGTAATTCATTTTTCCCGAGCACTCTATCTCTCTATGTCTTGGCAAGCTATTAAAAATTTGTCTTCATTTTTCTGGCAAGAGCCTTGTACCTTTTCATCTTTAATTTATGAGAGCAGAATAGCTACTGACAAACCCTTATTGCGCGGCGAGGGGCTGCATTATTTATAAGCCGCCAATGGCTGGCTCAGGGGAGATATTTGCAATATGCTGGGGCCTGCAGAAGGAGGGGGACATATTCCTGATGCACCTGTCCCAATTCGCTCCCCCACCCTGGGTGGGTGCTGGGTGCAGGGGATCTTCTGGCTGTCCCTGGCGGGCTGAGTACCCCCTCCCTGGCCTCTGCCAGCCCCTGCCCACAGAGGAAGCTACAGCACAAGATGGCTCTGAGCTGCCTGACTCTTATCTCGCTGCATCTGCCCATCTTGGGCTTTGCAAGCTCCTCTGTGATGGCTCAGCATGGGAGCTCTGCAGAACATGGTGGCCTCCATTCCTCCTCTCCATGGCTCCTCTTGGCCTCTCGGTGACTCAGCTGTGCCTGCAGGCTCACCAGGATCCCACGCCAGCAGCTCTCTGATAGCCATGCATAGAAAGTGGGATAAAAATATCCTCGCTGGAGAGGCAGGCACAGGCCTGGGGCCGGGGATTGCAGCAGAGCGTCCTGTGAGCGGGCTGCAAGAGGGGGTGGGAGCGTGGGCATACTCCAGCCTCTCCAAACAAGCAGCATCCAGGGCAGAAGCTTAGCAGAGCCCTCTGCGTGGTGGCAAGGTGCAAAGCCGACTGTGCTAAAAAAAGCCCTCCTGACAGCTGGATCAGCTTAACCACACGCCGAGCCAGCTGGAGCTGCTGCAAAGGCAGCAGGTTGGAAAACGGGGAGCAGAGTCCAGCCCCAGGGGGTACAGGGGCAACCCAGCAGCTGACCTGCCCTTCTCTCCCACTCCCATCCTCACCCCAGGGGCAGCCCCTTGCCACCATACACAAATAGGCAAGCAATACATTTCTCTTTGCTTTTGATTTTGTATAAACCTGCCTTTATTATATGGTATATAGAGGTACATTATACATATATCAAAAATAACTAGAGGAAATCACAGTGCACTTAAAGCTATTTGAGAAGGTCCACCTGAACGCAAGCACTTCAGGAGGTGGCAGATTGATCCCTCGAGGGGAGCCCAGCCCTGAACAGAAATGCCATTAAAATGAGAATAAAAAGGAGGGGACTCTGCTGGGATTATGTGTCATTTGCTCTGGGGACAGAAGGAGCAGAAAGCCAGATTAAAGCCACTGAGCAGCCCAGAGGGGAGCAGAGGGTGACCTGAGAGCTCACAGCTGGGCTGGGAGAGCCTCCCCTGGGTTCAAGCCACTGTATGAGCTTGAAATCACTCACCCACACCTATTTCGGGTCTGGGGAGTTTTCCTCTCCAAAAGCTGCTCTGCCATCCCCAGGCACCAGCTGCTGAACCACTGGGAAAAGTGGGGTGCCTGCAGAAGGGTTCAACCCTCAGTTGCCGTGATTGTCCACTGCCTCCTAAAGCTGCGGAGCACAATTTTCTTCCCCATCTGACATCCCTGCTCACAAGATTCCTGGCGCTGCTGCCCAAGCTCCCCCATGCACTGCACACAGCTACAGGCACACTCACCGTGAGCACGGGACAAATGCACCTGGGGGACAGCCAGGAGGTCCCTGGAGCAGGGCCAAGTCCAGGTGCAAGGATGTGGTTCAGCATGGTGCGGTGCTGCACGGCTGTGGGCAGCACGGGAAGCACGGGCTGAGCACCTGGGACCTACGGACGCGCGACAGCCAAGGGAAAGCAGCGGTGGCCATGAAGGGATCTGAGGGGCGAAGCTCAGCAACGCGCTGGCCTGGTGGGTATGTGCACGCATCCTGGCCACCCCAGGACCCCCCTTCAGAGCCCCTTGTTGAAGTAGATGGTCTCCAGACATGGGTCTTTCTCCCGGATCCGAGCTTGGACTTCAGGCTCCAGGTGGCTCACAGGCATCGAGCTGCCAAGGAGACACGGATACAGAGGATGGAGCGGGGATACCCACTGGTGGTCATGGGTTGGGAAACGACCTGCTGTCACCCCTTCCCCGCTGCACCCCATGAAGATGTTGTCCCCACAATCCAGGGCACACCTTTGGGTCTGCACCACTGTGTGCACACAGTTTTAAGGCCCTGACTGCTTAAAGGAGCAAAAGCATCTCTTGGGAGTCAGAGAGCACAAGGAGCCCCCCATCTGCACCCCATAACCTGCCCCACAGGAGCCACACATGCCTGCAAGGTGCCCGTTCTTACCTTTTCTGCGGGAAGAGCGCGCAGCACAGCGGAGTCGCAAACACCAAGCTGCAAGGGAAAGACACAGTGAGAAGCTGGGCTGCATAAATCACCCGCTCCCACGTGTGGTCTGACCCCAGGGCAGCAAGGAAGCAGCCTAGAGCCATGCTGGGTGCTCAGCTAGGAAAGCGGTAAGGAGAGGTGCCCTCCAAGCTCTAGACCCTCCATTTGGCTCCTGAAGCGGAGCAAAGCCTGTGCCTATCAGTGTGGTGGAACAGCAATGCTGAGCAGGAGCCCATGGCAGGCTTGAGAGGCATCAAGATGGAGCAATACCGCATCCCATCTGCCTGGGCGGGCACCAGCCCAGCCAAGGTTTGGCATACCCTTGAGGAGCTCTCACCTCCCCTGCCAAGCAGATCCCCCAGCAGCACTGCCACCTGTACCCAGACTTGGCCTGTGCCCAAGGTGGCAATGCCCGTCGGTGAAGGATGACTTACCAGAGTCCCACCAGGCCAACCTGCAGAGGAGCATTCAGGTACGGGTATCGCTGCGAGGGACAAGGAGAGGCTGCGCATCAGTGGGGTGGACAAGGCGGGAAGGTGTCTGTTCCCAGATGGGGTGCCAGTCTCAAGAGGTACCAGCACTATGACAAGCTGGGGGGGTGTCCCCTTGCCCACCCTTCCCTCCCAGGACAAGCAGTACCTTCAGGAAAGCTCTCTTCTCCAGGGCGTTCATGATCACCGGGGGGATGGCTGGGGCAGAGGTGAAGCAGATGAGTTCCCTGTGCTCACAGTCCCCACCAGCTGTGGGATCCCATCCCATGCTGCCAGGGACTGGCTGCAGCCCCCAGACACGGGTGGAGGAGAGGACACTCACCCATGGCTGGAACTGCCATGCCAATGCGGGACACCACCACCTGGAAAATGGCCTTCTGGGCTGCGGCCATGGACTCACCCAGGCGATTCCCATTCTCATCTGTGACAGGGATCCCCAGCTTGAGCTCTCTGCAGGGAGAGCAGGGGTTAGGGGTGCCCCAGGGCATATGGGCGGGAGGAACAAAGGACAGGGCAGGGACACAGCACAGGGGCACATCCACAAGGAAGGTTGGCATCCCCCTGAATTCCCCATCCACTGCCTGTGTAATAAGCTGGGGGGTGTCTCAGCTAGACCCATGTTCACACTTGGGGGGATAGATGGGGATGGAGAGTTCACAGATGGATTAACCAATAACCCCTTAGGATGCAGCTGGGTGCTTGTACCCTCAAACCAACTCCCCAGGTTAAGGGATGCCAGCAGGACCAGGAAGAAAAGTCCCCTGCAAGCCCAGAGCACTGCTCCCTGTGTCCCCCACCAGTGCCTGGCAAATCCCGGTGTGAGCCCAAATGCCCCGTCCCAGCCCAGGGGCTCACCTCTGCCTCATCAGCGGGATGTTGATGCAGTTGGCAGCAGCCACAGCTGCAAAAGGCACGTACCGGCCGATGATGGCTGGCAAGTGCTGGGAGATCAAGCAAGGAACACATCATGCAGAGGTCTGGGGTCAGAGCTGGCTGTCCCTGGGTCTGCCACCACCCCCCTGCAGGACCTTGGGGTGTCCCAGCCCCACCAAGGAAAACCATTCCCTCCTTCCCTGCAACTCCCAGATGGTGAAAGCTGCAACTTCCAGGCCTGGAGGGAGGCTAAGGGACGAAAGAAGTCTGGAGAGATCCAGCTGGGGATGGAGCGGGGCTAGAGGGACAGGCCACCTCCAGAGCCATCACTGAGGTGAGGGGCTGCCTTGTGTGGGTGCCCCAGGAAAAGCCCTTTCCTCCATTTTATCCCCTGCCCCAGATGATGGGGTCAAACCCCTGCTCAGCTCAGAGCTCAGAGTGACCCCCCAGGAAGCCCAGGTGCCCTGGCCACTGATGGCCAATGGCCACCTTACCTTGGTGAGAGATTTGAGCCCCAATGCTGTGACAACTGCCCCCGTGGTCGCACTCACATAGGCTGTCCCCAGCTGGCTGCAAGAACAGGAGGTGACACTGATGCCCCACTGGTGTCCATCTCTGGCTGTGCCAGGTCCCCATCGTCTCATCTCACAGTCTGTCCTCCCCACTATTCAAGGCACGCCTCCGGTATTTTGGGGTGTCACAAGAACCTGGTCAGAGGGATGCTTACCTGGGGGTGATGGGTGCATCCCCGCTGCGGTTCGTGTAGTTGACAATGGCATTGAAGGATTGGTTGACCCACTGCCAGAACAGCACGGCTGGCGTGGTCCTACCACAGAGAGGAGGGTGCTGGTGGCACTAGAGGATGCCACCCATGCTCCTATGGCATGGGTGCACTGCAGGGTATGGGACATGTGTCCCCTCCTCACTCCAGGGTCAGGAGGGTGCCTCCGGGGTGAGGAGGGGACAGGTACCTGTAGAAGGTCAACATGCAACCAGTGATGGTCATGTTCATGGGGACCTGGGCAGACATGCGCCCTATGAGGAGCATCTTCTCGCCCGTGTCGGGGTGGAAAGCTGAGTCATAGATGTACTTTGCTCGCCAAAGCTGGTCCTCCGTCAGCCCCGGGGGCACTGTGCCCGCCCTGCCAGGTAAGGGTAGCACCCATTGGGAACCCCCTACTTGTGTCCTAACTGGTCCTCCACCCCATGTGGCTGGGAGACCCCTTAGGGACCAGTCAGACAATTTTGGGGGCCGGCTTTGGCCAGCAGAGGCCAGCACAGCCACCATTCCCACTCCTAGGGTGGCCCCGAGGCTGTACCCTGCCCAGGAGTGGTGCTGGGGGAATGCCCTCCCCCCTCGGTACCTGTAGTCCTCCACCACCCGGCGGGCCTCCTCCAGCGTGGCCCCTGAGAGCAGCAAGTTTCGGGGGTCGGTCACCATGAAGAAGTGCTTGGCCCGGCCCTGGAAGGTGCTCTGGTCCCAGCGGGGCTCCCGGATGTTGATGGTGGCAGGGAGGGATGGTGG